TCGTAAAACAACAGGAGATGCATTCAAGACATTTTGCCCTTTGTAGCTGTATAAAATTTTAAGAATCGACCAACATTTAGGCGAGTTACAAGTAACTGAATGTTTTAGTATATACCTCAAATAGTTGTTGAATACAATGATATTTCTTGCTGTTGCGGATTTTGCGGAAGGTTTTCGTCATTTTTTCCGGAAGGGCATATCGCAGCATTTTGAGCGATCATACCACTTTGGGTGTTAACATTTCTTTTTTGTGTTCAATACATGGGATAGCTGGTGTCATATACATGATAACTCTTAGCGTATCAGCGTAATCCAGTTAGCGGTAAAAACTGGAGGTGTGTTATTTTTGTCACGTTCAACTTTATAGTACGTGACTTGCTAAATTCTTCCGTAAATGCCATTTTCGAAGTTCGGTGTGGTCATGGAGGTAATACCTCTCATTACCTCCATGGTGTGGCTCACTAACAACTGCTGTTGTCCATGGCTTCCTGTGTTTCATATCTCGCGATATATCGCGATAGTTGGTTGGAATATGAATAGATCTTGCATTACTTTCTGAGATCTAATGATAATCTCGTTGCTCTGCAACTTTTATTAGACATGGTAAGAACTGATAACCTAAACAAACTTGGCACGCATTACTTCAATAGAAAACGCCTCGTTGCCAGTTGTTTATTAGCTGTCTGAGGCAACAACCACATCTCCAATAAACAGTCGCTCGGGCGACTGAATTGAGCCACTATTTATCCATGGAAATGCACACTTAAATATTTGATATGATATAAATACTGAAATTACAGCCTGCAATTATCTAGGCTCCAAACCTGTCCGAGCAAGCATGACGACCTTCAGACACGGTCGTCAGTTATATTATGCCATAATGGTCGATTGTTTATGCAATTAGTATTATCGTTGCGTACCATTACCAATATTGGGTGTGAAGTCTTCTAATATGGCCGCATAAACACTGGTTATTTATTTTACTATAAACTAACACCGTCTCCTGGACACCGATGCTGTGAGCAGCGGCCAGACATCAAGTACGAGGCGAATAACAGCGCCTGGCGACAACAATCTAGCGCCCATTAGGTACCTACCTGTTGACGCAACTTGAAATAGACGAGGGTGCTTCACGTATTATTCAGTGAATGTTATTCAATATAGAAGAATTCCTGATTTTAGTTAAATGACCATTAGCAATAACCGAACATTAAATCTTGCGGGCAGCAACACTATCAACAGCTTCAGCCATTTTGTTACTAAATGCTCACCGAAGCTGCGCACAAACGTTAAAATCGTCAGACTACTTAACCTAGTTAAAACTACCAAGTATATTTTATTTTTGCTAGTTCAGTTAACGAGCATTATTAATCAAAGATAAATATGTGTTGTGTTATTTTCTATTTTTTAACTATGATACTTTCATATTATCGTATGATAATTGTGTGATTACATTTTACCGTAATAAATATTGGCGACAACAAAAATACAACATGCCAAGTGGTCACGGCCATCAGAGCTGTCAACAAATGGCGCCCGTCTTTGAAGTTGGGGTAAACTAGAGGTCAGATCGAAATTACCGTGTTTACAGATCTTGTCAATTATTCTAAAGTTGCTCCAACCTGCACTAAAATGAGAAAAGTGACTGGGAAAATTGTTGACAGATCGATTAAGTTAAGTACGTAAATTGAGGAATAAGTTCTTTTAATCTATGTTTATGCCATGGGAGGTCATTCAGTCATGATTGACGAGCTTTTACGTTTTTTTCCCCCTGGATTTGTCTTATTAGTAGCAGTTCAGCTACATTTGTAGAGTTATCGCAGTTTGTTTGTTTGTTTTGATTTTGGACGTTATTTGAGCTCTGTGTGTGTTGTGTGAGGGACTGTGGTTGTGTGCAACAGCAAATCAAATATTCTTCCAAATTTCCCAATCAGTGGACGTTGACACTGGCGCTCGGAACGCCCGTGGGTGTTGATGGACAATGTCATGTACAGTGAAGGGCAGAAAGCTGTGAACTAGTTTATAAATATATTTATTAATAATTGTAAATACCGATCATCGGCTTTCATTCAAATTCAAATATTTAATAGGGATCCATATTGGCTCAAGAGATAAACAGGACATAGCAACATATTTTTATCACTTGTTTTGCATATTGGTATACATGTACGTCCATCCCAAGATCTTTCCTCTCTGCCATGATTCATTTAGCCACATCATATAATGTTTACATTGTTCTCTTAATTTTAACGGACCTCCTGTCGAAGTAACTTTTCAAATCACTCAATCCAAAAGCCCTTTTTTTAACCGCTTTTAACCGCCACGATTTCTGCATGGTTGCTCAATGTTGAACTCATTATTATTAATTGAAATGAATGATGATGTTAGAATACTATTTCTGGATTGGTCAATTTGAAATCTATCAGCCATGTTGATTTATAACAATTTATAAAATGTTCATAACGTCCCCAGGTTTCTGCCATTCACTATAAATATCACAATAAGTTTTTGCAGTTCTGGTTCAATCATCGTTGCTAGGGGGATTTGAATCAAGTTGCCCTGGTTCAATGGAGTTATTTGTCAAACCACAGAGCTGAATGCCTAACAAATAACAACTTGTTTATATTGCATTTCAGCTAAAATGAAAAAACTTGCCATTCAATTTACCCCCCAAACTCCTAATCCTAAATCTATTCCCACCCTCTATCCCCCCTAAATTAATTGTATCTGCCCCTTTTGAAGATACCTATAATTATTTGGAGAGACGTATATAAAACTGAATTGAGGGTTAGGGTTTGAGTTAGAGTAAGGAGTGGGGGTACAATAGAATGTTTTTCCACCTCAAATATCAGCTTTTTTTGTCATGGACGTCAGTTTCCACGACGATCTACTTCTTAGTCTTACCTGTATGTTAGACAATTTCATAAAGATATAAGAATCCACAAGTCAGCTTGTTGTTGCAGATTAGTTAGAAATAGCATATACCCGGTACAATATTTACACCTCTAGATAACCTTGCATATATGGTAAAACGAATATGGTACAATTCTTTGATAGCTGACATTTATAAAACAATTAAAACAATTAAAGTTATAGATACCTGTATGGCAAGCTTAAAGTGTTGTAGTGTTCGTAAACATGTATTTATATGCAAACATTCATATTTATATTTAAAAAAAGATATTCATTTTTTTTATATATGTACACGTATTTGAAAACAACGTATACTTGTATTAAATATTTCTTAAATGCGATAAAACATATTTATGTTCAATGTGTATTCAACAAATGTATTATAAATGATTCTCTTACATTTGTATGAACTAAATATTTTCTCTTTCTAAAAATTTCTTTTTTTCATTTTTAGAAAAAAAACAGAAAGTTCCAATGAAGACATTAGGTTCAAACAAAAAGAAATTGTCGCATAGTGGTACCTATTCTTCATCACCAGTAAAATCGCTAAATACTGAATTTAAAAAGAAGAAGCAATCCAGATTATCCCAGGCTACCATTGACACAGTAAGCAAAATAAGAACTATATCACATGTCAACTGTATTTGAAGTTATTTATAGACACTCTGTTAGATTGCAGTAGAATTTTGTGAAAATGGTGCCTACTGTATGCATGCACAAGACCCATATTAAACACTACAAGGCATGGCGTCCACCGCCCTGTAAGGTATTAGATGCAGGTTTGGGGACACTGGTCAAACAACATGAAAGTAAATCTATACATCTCCACTTTATTTAGCATACCAACTTCAATGGACAATTTAAATATATTGTTGCTTTCATCTGCGATTGCATGAAATTGTTTTTCTTTAGTCTCTGGTGTTTAAAAAGACCACTTTGAAAAAAGTATCAATGGTGAATGTGTCATCAATGATTTGTTATTGGAGATGTGTATTGAAATGAGCAAATACAGTTTGAAACACTGTGGCATTCAGAAGTTCATTATTTTCAATCAAGGCAGTTTGTGACAAATTCAAATTTTGCACTGCTGAACTACGCATTTGCAATGCCAAAATAACTACTCACACCGGAAACTTGCTAACTTACGCTGGCATCGGAAGCAACAGAATTTGCCTTACCGTACAAAGCTATATCTGCACTCGTTCCAAAACATAGTACATGTTCAAACATATTTATATTAATAAAGTTATCACAAGATTACCGCAATGTATGTACTAAGGCAGTGTGGGCTTGCGCTGACCACTGCTACACATTCGATATAATCGCTGTACTGCCATTGAGCATACATTTCAGTATCATCATACCTTAATGAGGATGCAATCTGATTTAAAATTCAATGTTGGTATACATATTCCAATCATACACAGCCTGAGAATAAATATAACTATTCTTTTTATAAACAGGTTTTCTCACCAGAAACTTCCTAGAGTATACCGTAGTCCAGATTTAACATCACGATCACCTGATGAAAATATTGATATAAGACATGCAAAACGTGGATCACAATTTAAAAAGAAATCCGAAAAAATTCCTGTGCCAACTAAAAGTATACAACACTATCTAGATGTTAAGCAACGCAGCATGAAGCAGCATAATCTACACTCACCAAGAGTAGAAAACCATCAAGGAAAAAAGACTACCGCCCAGTCTACAACCACACCAATGTCTTCCAGTGTAGCTGAAAC